ACAAGATCTGGGATCCTTTGTGTCCTGATTAGAGCATGCAACAGTTAATTTGTTTTAAATAGGAAATTAAACAGTCATGTAAAGTGTTATATGAGGGTCATAAAATGGTTCTTGAGGTGCATTGATGAGGTCTATTTGGGATTCTTACACAACGTCTTACTGAGGCGAAAAGAAAGAAGAGCAGAAGGGTGCACAAAATAATTTCAAACTCTTTGTCATGAAAAATCGCGAAAGAATAAGTCTCAAGTGAGTGCTTTTACTAAGATGGAGGACTGCATCTTAAATTTAAAGGTCCTAAAAATGGTTCAATTTGTACAGACACTGTTCCTCTGCAGGCTGATTGCACAGATTTATGTTCTATCTTTTAATGACAGAAAGAATAATTTGCGATTAGAAGACTGAAAACCTGATATCTTTTCCTGACCTTTTCCTCATTTAAAATATACAGTTTTTCAAAAACAAAATAAAATAAGTATCTAGGTGAATTATTTCGGATTACCTCTAGTTCCTGTTTTATATGTGTGTACATATATATCTGTATCTCATAGCTATTTTGAAACAGCATTAATTAAGTAAATTGTAATGGATATCTCTCAATAGATTATATTTGCTTCTGAAAAACATCGAGCATGTAAAGCATTTATGGCTAAGCATCGTCTCTGTATCTGACCCTTCTGCAACGTTAGATTTCGTCAATATCAGGCTTTTAGTCCCGGGATGAAATGGAAGTTGCCGCCGGCTTTGGAGGGACGAGGATTCCCGAGCCTGGTGCTGCCAACGGCGCTGCGCTCCCACAAATCGCTGGTGCAAGAAGGGCAGCTTCACCCGCCTGCAGGGCTGTGGGAGCACTGCAGCGCCCGGAGGCTGGCGCGAAGCAGGTGCGCCGCTGGGGAAGGCTTTCCGCGCGTCGCGACGTAACGGGCTTCTGCTTTTACGCCGGACCTATGGAATTTCCTAGTCTCGCTGACAAGACCAGTGCTGTCTACCAGCAACAGGATTTAAAATACTCATAATTATAGCTTTCCACCTCTTTCCTTCCTTGCGCCGCAAAGTTATTTGGGAGATGCCTGAGGAGTGCTTGCTGAGGCCTACCGTTATGTCCCTTATCGCTCAAAAAACAAACAGAAAAAGGATTTAACGGGTTAAAGCCAGTTTCATAAGGAGAAGAACAGACTCAAATCCAGGCTGCTTCAGCAAGATGTGATTTACAGCTGTTGAAATATTAACCCTGAAAATCATGATTTATGAATGATAATGGAAACACTGACAAGGCCCCTTGGTGTACCCACTAGTGTTACAAAATCCTGATATATGCAAACCTGATGAGATAAAAGAAAACCAATAAAGAAAAAATAAAGCACTACTGCAGAAGACAAACAGTTTTAATCTGCTTTAGTATCAAATAACACTGAAGGCTTGATTGTCATGTTCTCCAGAACTAAAATTGCTATTGAAGTCAATGTAGGTTTACCTTGAAAAAGGTCAGTGGGATAGCAGCAGAGGTAAGATGAAGCAAAAATAAGTTAAATACTGATAACAGGTGATGAGCAAGCCTCCGAGGATGTGATGATCTGATTCAGCAAAGCACCCAAAAGTCTGCAAGTTTCTCGTTTAAATGTCTCTCATCTAGAAGCTGGGTTTCCCTCCTGGGAGATTTCACTTGGTACCTGTGCAGTTAGATTCCTCTGAACATAACTTTTTCCTGGTTTCAGTATCTGTTTCTTGTAAATGATAGAAACATAAAGCAGAGCAGCAAAAGTGGAGACAAACCCATTCAAATGATTTAAAAAATAAAAATAATTTGCCTTTTAGTGAGCAATTATCTGGCTCTTTTTTGCATTCAAATCAGTTCTTACAGCCCTATGAAAGTAAGACAGCACTTTTGACTGTTCTCATCAGTATGGTGTTTTGGTATATCCATGGAGTCAGTTCCTCCATATCTTGGGTGAAACACAGCAACTTTTGAAGAATGCCAAGTAATACTACATCAGATGTTTCCATAGGAGATGAGCAACGTAGTATGATCTGAACTGGGCATCAGTATAACAAGAAATGGCAGGGATGCTTAACCTAGACAGAAAACTGTGATACCTCTGTTTTCTGAGTGCTATAGATTTCTAAGATGTTACCATAGATGACACTGTATAAGGCATGGAGGTGATTTTTGATGTGATTTGTCCTGAATTTTAATTAAGGAGAACTTCAGTAGTAGTCATATGGTAGAAATATAGATTATGGTACCGGAAGATACCTCATGTGGCCACTTATTCTTCCCACTGCCCTACGTTTTACAATGTGCCAGTCAGTGATGATATATGTGGGAAGTTTACAATCACAGTATATATTAATAAAGAACAATGAACTAGCTTATCATGAAAATAAAAACTATGGTCCAAAATATTGCAATCTTTTATGGTTCCAGGCTGTAACAACCGCATACTCTTTTCTTCTCTTTTATTCCTTAATGACCATTAAGCATGGGGAATTTAAGTATTTTAAAGAAATCTGAACAGTGCAGAAAGCAACAATAATAATTATTTTTACAAATCAAAATGCTGCTGTGTAGTTGTGATGGCTTGTGTATTTCATGCTGTTTGTTATACATGTGCACTGCAGTGCACAGTATCGCACTTGCAGAAATTGGGAATTCTGGACCTCCAGTGCATCTTTCCCCAGCTTGTGCATCTCAGTGGATGTGTGGGCTGGTGGGCTGTAAGTTATTAGTGGCAAATAACGTTCTGCTTTAAAGACCTTCATCTTGCAAACGAAGAGTGGTAGCAACATCACATGACCAAAGTGGCTGGTCATTATAGTAAGACAAATAAATGTCAAGCAGTCGGAAGAAATAGCTTGCAAAGCATTCAGATACTGAAAAATTATTCTTCAGAACGACTTAGTGAGCCCTTAGGAGTAATTCACAAGTTTATGGAAGTCAGGATTTGGAAGTGCCAAAGAGGAATGCCAATTTTGTAGGCAGAAATTGTACTTTGACTCCTGTGCAGTCATTCCTCTGCGCATGGCTGCCTGTGCTGGGGATTGGGGTGGGAGGAGGGAGGCTGGGTGGACAACGATGATGCTGGGGCTCTGCGTGGAGAAGGGACCCCTGTGCAACAGGCACAAATACTGTCAAGGAAGACCTGCCGTGAGTGGCGCATGCCTCACCCCTTCAGTAGCTGTGACAGAGCAGAGACGGAGTCAGCTCAGTGCACAGGTAGCCCACCCAAACCAGCACACCTGGCTCCTGGGCCACGCTAGACTCTGACGGTACGCAGTGAGTCTTGCCCTGCTGAAAGAGCTCATCTGGCTGGAAAAAAGCACACACAAAAGGTAACGCCACGTCCTCTTAAACAATTGGTGTTGACATGAACTATGTAACCCAACGAAGCAGTTCTTATATATTAAATAAACATTACAGTATTTTATTGCTTACTGTTAACTTGCTCTGCAGTGATATGTAAGCAGTTTGAGTCTGTAAGTAGAAATAAAAGCATCTGCAGGGTATTCCCAAGGTTATAATTTCACTGAGGATTTCTCTGATGTCATAAACCAAAAGAGCTAAGTTGAGCTGTTCAGTCATAGGAACCCCAAGATGAAAATTATAGCCTTGTAATGCACAGCAGGCAAGACTTGATACATTAACAGCCTTAAGTGGGCCATCTGTGACGATTATACCTTCTCTAAAGACTCAGGGTTCCAGTAAAATGGTTTTCATACCTACAAAATGAGTGGGGGTTTTTCATCTATTTTTGCCATTTTCTCTTTGAAGAAGGAGATGTCACTCTTTATTCAGCCAACAAGAAGGCATAAGTGTTACCCAGTTTAAATTTGATCATAAAAGAAGAGAAAGAAAGTTTGAATACTGTAGCTTTTAATCTGGCTTGGATAAAATTTCAAAGTGCTGTCACACTAGTCACATTATCCTTTGCTGATATCAGTGTTGTAAGACATATCAGAAAATAATCACATAATTCTGACAAAGATAAACCAATGCTGAGCTTACACTGAACATACAGAAAGGTCGTCAAACAGTCACATACTGTTCATATCATATTTATCTTTTGGATCTTCAGCCTTGAATGCCAAATGTGGACTACTGTAAATGTTGCAGTTGACAAAAAAACATCCTAGCAAAACCTTATTATGAGAGCAAGAACAGCCTCCTGCCTGGATCAAAGCTTTCTTTCCTGTTAATTTTAACAGATTTGTGTTGATTTGTATAGGTCATCTTGAAGAATGACACTTTTAATGAATAATTGGAGAAATAAAATGCAAAAAGAAAGGTAGTTATAGAAAATAAAAGCTATGTCTTTGTTCTCCCTTTCCTTGATAACAAAATAAGTTGTTACGTGTATCTGCTCCTGAATCTATGTAACAGAACGGTAAAGTAAACCAGAACTAGAATTAGCTAATAAACACGCTTCAGCTGTGTAACTTAAATGATATGCACAAGATAAAGTCTTTAGACACCTATCAGGTAGCAGATTGGTGCGTGTGCTCCACCTTTGATATATGAATTTGCTAATGAGGTTACTGTCTGTACCGTGTAGTCCACGTATTACATCTGTAGGGGAGGCGGTGTGCTCTGCCTGTGTATCTCTGGGGCAAGAAAAGACAGAGGGGAATTGCTGGGTATGTGGCAGCAGGTTATACCTGCACTTTTCAGAGCAGCGAACGCCTATAGCGCCTGGCATGTTCTCTTCTTGAAAGGAGACTTGACAGTATCAGCCATGGTCTCAAGACAGCATTTCACAGCAGAACTTCTAACTTTCCGTTTTGATTAAGGCCAGAGTATATCTACATCTGCAATTCTATATTTACATATATTCACACAAACATCTATAAAACCCTACATACACATACTATTAAACATGTTTATTTTGAATCAAGTGTATAGACATCCTCATATATACGAATGCTTGGCTGCAGAGGAATTCTAGGTTGATGTCACCCATTCTCAATTGCCTGAAGTTCTGTTTGTTTATTCCCTCTCCTTTTTTCAGGTGTGCTGTGACCTGTGGTCTAACTGGTCTCTGAGACAGTGGATATTAAGAAGGAGAGAATATGACAGTAGTTCCAAAAATAAGAACATTTTTCAAGAAAATTAGGTATGGAAAACACTTAAAAGTGTTATCATACATTGCTTAATCTTTTCCTGATGCAGTATCTCTTTTCAATTAAAATTTAATGGTATATTTTCCACAATGGGAACAGGATTTTGTTTCTGAACTTTCCTGGTTAGAACAATATAACAGATGATTTGTAAAATGCATTACTTTGTAGAAACTCACAGTCAGGATGGTCAAGGTAATATTGGCAAGAAAATACTAACTCGTTTGCCAATCATTTGAAATAATGCATGAGTGGTTTCCATCAGGGCTTGCAGTATGTAATTTACTGAATATTTCAGTCTATCCTTTGGCATCTTAATTTCTCCAGCAGTTCTCCCATGTCAAAGGCAACTGACTACTAGTTCAGTTATTTATATTTCTAGAGTGAATTAACAAAAGCAGCTTTCATGGTTTTCTTCGGTGTTTCATACCACAGATATGCCTGATTGGAAAAGTAGGTTTATATTGAATCGCCATTGAAAAAAAGTTTAGGATGATTTATGGAAAAGGATTTTACATAATGGCTGCCTTTGGTAAAGCTGAAAAGCGCTTGGTTGGTCTTGTAACTTTGTGATGTTCCCAAGGCCTTGAAATGAACTCCCAGGCTTCAGCCGCTCTTGTCATGACATCTAATCCATTACATAAAAAATGTCCTAAGACATATTTCCTGCATCGTTCTCCTATTTCTGTAAGCAACGGAGTGTTACAGAAAATAAACACACGGGAGGGTTCAGAAGAGAGAGTTACTACGTATAATCCGCTACTTTTATTTAAAAGAAGTTTTTCTTTTTAAAAACCTACAGGAAACTCCAGGAGTGGATCATGTGAACTGCGGGGCACCTGGTGGTGTTGCTGATTACGCTCACATCTGTTTTCTTCAGGGGACTCTGATGGCTCTTGAAAATTTCCGTCAAGTATTTAGCACTTTTCAGGATCTGTCCCCACATAAGCATGTTCCTAAACAGCAACAGTTTAGAGAAAATACAAGACAATAAAGCAAACATGTCACAGCTCTCCTGGAAGGAGCTCAAAGGATGAGGGATTGTTATCAGCCTGGACAAAGCCAGAAGGCTTGTATTTATTCTGAAGCAAGAAACGCTTACTTTAATTGGCCGAAAAAACAGTTAAGCCCAACAGCAATTAATGAATGGAATTAATGCCTGAGAAAGGGCAACCCAAGACTGTTTGACAAGTGACAAATGTTGGAGATTAGATGGAGAAATTAACACCCTAAAAATACCCAGAAGCTGGAGTGGGTGACCTACTCTGTATCTGCCGTTGAGCATTCTTTTATACGAGCCCATAAAAACACAGAAAAGCTTCTTTCTCTGGGTTACCTTGCACCTGGCCTCATGGCCTGTCACTTTCGACTATTTAATGCTTAGAATCAGCCCTTAAATAGTCAAAAGAAAGAATAGGAAAATAGTAAAAGTGATTGTATAAAAATGGCTCAACGCCTCCTTTGGAATCTCTAGAAAATGAAAACAGCTCGCCTTTGTCAAGTATGAAAGACTATTGTTCTGGAAGAGCAAGAGCCATTAAGCTAATTACACATTTGCATTGATTTGGTGAAAACTGAATGAAGTTAAATTAATACAAGCCAGATGTAAACCAATTTAAATGTGTTCACATAGGGGTTTTCACCAGTTTAATTGATTTAAAACCAATTTTGTGCATAAACAAGGCCATATATCCTTTTTCTTCTCCTTTGCAGACTGAAAATTAAGTAATCATTTCAACTTGGATTTTGATAACTCTACATTAAAAATAGAGCTCTATTGCAATGTAAGCATGATTCTCATAATAATTATTACAATGTATATCCTTCTAAAAAGACATCTCAAATTCATACTTTTCTTTTCAACCAAGTCCCATATAAAATGAGCTGGATTCAAACCTAGATCCAAACCACCTCAGCTTACAAAATCAGAAACATGTCATTATGGCTTTGTGGAAGTACAATTGTTTCCTGAGTCCGTGCCTACATCCTGCATTGTAAGAAAGTAATACCATGCTAGTTCTAGCTCTCGCTGTAAGTTTCTAAGGGCCAGTTAAAGGCATGACATAGATGTAGCCTTAGTAGAAGAGTTAGGCCTGCTGTCACCCTCATCTGGGCATCTCTGCTACATGTCTGTATGACTGCAGAGGTTCTCTGGTCACTCTGAAGTGAAATTTTTATATTTGTAAGTCCAAATACCTCTCAGTCAATATTGATGAGAGCTCAAAATGGCCAGAGATCTTCAGGCTTTTTGGAAGGAAAGAAGTCTCATATGCCTTAATCTTTCTCCCCCTCTCATCCCTCACTGACTTTCTGCTAGTGAGAGTTTTGGCAAAGGAATTATGCATGCTCCATTGTTTGTATTTTAACCGTTGCCCTTAAAATTAGACCTTTGGAGAAGGTGCAGGTGGAGAATGGGAACAGACAGAATTCCTAAAATCCGTGCAAAAAGTTGCCCCTTCTGCCTGACTGTGAGGAGTGAAGACGCTAATGTCAAAGTGACGGGCTGGAGAGGACCCCGGCCAGGGATACGTGATGGAGCAAAAGCCTGAGGACAGCAGACCCTGGCGCTGAGCGAACACAGTCAGCTTGGCAGGGCGAATGGCTTGCCAGAGTCATAGCACAGAAATGCAGCCTCTTAGACATTCTTAAGGAAGGGCCGTTTCTGAAATGTAAACAGAGTGCCTACACACACAGGCATACCCTTGTGCATATATGAAACAGAAGGAATATAAGCGAGCGTAAAAAAATGGAACAATGCTGCAGACTTATTCGATAGTAACTTACACATGCACAGGGGCAAGAAATAAGCAGTCTGTGGGAATGAATGTCTGTGTTCTGGAGACAAATGATTGACTCATTGCATTAAGTTAATTTAGGTAGTCATGGACTAAGGTTTCCTATATTTAAGGAAAGTTAAATGTAGCTCCTCTAAAGCGAGGCTTCATCTATAACATGCTAAAGCATTGAAATTTATGTTTATTCTTCAATAGTTTGTTTAGAATAGAGAATTCTTTGTTTGTCATAATAAAATAGATAAAATTTACATTATTTAATTATATCTTATGTTACATTTTACTTAATTATTAACATTAAAAATTACTCACTATGGAATAAATCATAATAATAATGATATAGACAATTCATTAATTCAATTAAAATTATATACTTGATGCATTTGCCTGCTTAAAAATGTAGACATTAAAAATTGTTTTTTTAATTAAAAAGTTATCAACTGTGATTTGACGAGTCATTTTCTGCCCTACTGCAAATGCTTTCTTTATTAAATATTTCATGTCCTGTAAATCAAAATGCAATGTTTCCTCCTCATTGAAACTGTGTGCAGGCTGAAGTCACTGTCATACTTCCACTATGGTAACCAAACTTGTGAAGTCTAAATCATCTGTTTCCATAGCTCCATTTTGTTGGCTCATTTTCATTGCAAATAGCTACAGGAGTTCTTCACCTGAAAAAGAAGAATTCCTGCCAATGACTCACGCTCTCTAGTCTACAGCTGTATTAAAATGTCAACCCTCACTGTTTTAGGGCTTTCTGGGAGTCTCCAGGATATATGCATTCACGTGTCCTGACATCCCCATTGAAACAGTTCAGGTTGCTGAACCTTAACACAGGCTGCCTGCCTCCAAGATGCTCCCTTAGTCACTAAAACGAATGGAGTTTCAGAGAAAATTATCTGTATCAGAATTTGGTTAATTCTCTGATCAGCAGAGGTTCTTCAGGGCTGAAAAAGCCTTGACTTCATGTATCGAACAAAAGGCAGTAAAATTGTAAACCTCCCATAATTTGGAAACTTTCTTCCTGTACAGGAAGGAGCAATAAAAAGGCAAAGGTTAAAGGTATTTGGAAATATTTTGTACAGCCTAAGGGGGGGTGTTGGAGTCAACGCATGGTTTCACTGCGCTCTCCTCCCGGGCTGCTGAAGCTTGAACATAGCAAAGATGCAAAACAATGAAGTGGAGCCAGAAGGTAATTTCTCAGCGCTAAAATTGGCCTGTGGTTTAAATTATGCAGAGAGTGGTCAAACTCCCATTCCCCATTCTAAAAAATCCTGTCATTTCCTACCATACTCTGTATGTGAGGGATTTAATGGATCAGAGATGTATAGAGAAACCTTTTGCTTGTCTCTGTGCTGAATTTGTCTATTAGACTGCAAACTCTCCGGTCAGCGACCGCCTGCTACTCTGTGGCTGTGCCAGGTTTAGCTTAACAGGGACTGAACCTGCGCCTGCTGACAAGACACAGACATAATAAATATCATGGATAATGATAATTTCAAGCTGTGATCAAAATTACCACTCCCAACAGTTTCTCTATTTGCAAAAAGATATTGAAAGCCAGTAAGAAAAAGTGATCCTCAAAATTTGGCCATCTGATTTGTTTATTCAGACTGCACTTAATGATTTTAAAGTGTTGTCTGTGTTTATCTTAGGTTTGCTAACTGTGTCAAGCTTAGAGAAAATTTCAGCATAAGCAATGTGTGTTTCTCTTTTTATAGTGTGAGCGTTTATGTGCGCCTACTTTCTTCCTATTGTCAATATTTCACCCTGGGCACCGTCCCAAACAGCTCACAGTGGAAAAGATAAATACCACTGCAAGGGTGAGAGCAAGATGCAGTCAAAGTATGCTCAGTACGCTCATTTCTCTGTGGGATCTTTCCCTTGCGGCATATGAAAAGCCTAATCCACTTTTAGAGACGGTAAAAATTTCAGAAATGCTTTCGATACCTATATCGCCATTTCAACTGCAAACGTAGAAATGGAATTGTCTTTTAAAGTCTTTTCAGCTGTAAAGTTGTAAGGAGCCTTAGCAATGACAATTCACAACTAATTCTGCTATGTTATGTCTTCCCAATTTACAGTCACATAAACTTTAAACACGATCCTGGATGTACACGGCTCGGTTAGCATGCATATGTACGTAAGTGTATTTGCAGTGTCTAAA